TAGACGATTAATTGCAAAATATTGGAAGGGGGCATTGAAAATACAGATTAATGAATGGTATAAAGAAATCTGGAAAATGGCACTGAATGATAAATTAACTTCAAATTTAAAAGTAAAGAAGGGATTATGTAAAAAAATGACTGAAAGTACCTGGAGAAAATTTCTAGAAAAATTATTGGAAAAAAAGAAGACGGGAATTTACCTCCAAATGAAGAACTGATTTTTTGGTGGGATGTTAGGAAAAGAGATGGCTCTGGAGAAGGGGAGCACAGAGATGAATGTAAATAAAAGAGAAGGAAATGTATAGTATCTATATATATAAATTTGAAAGGGGCGTGAAACGGAGCACCAAAACTCAAAAACCCACCAATGGAAATAAACCAAAATTCCCATGCACCTACCACAACCCACAAGGTACAAACAAATTGAATCAAAGTAAACAAACAACACAACAACACACTCACAAAATGACAAAACAGTTGAGCATGCGCAATGGCACCCAGCCACAAGTTCCCTGGCGCGTGCACATGACTTGCCGGCCAATGCTCCCTCCGCGCAAGCCATGCCCCCATCCTCCCACTGCGCCGCTTCCCGCCCTGTCAAAACCATCTCCTCCTTCGTCTTACCCTGCTCATGCCGCCTCCAAGCCCCACCCCGCCCACTCCAACCCTGCCCACGCTGCTGCCAAGCCCCACCCCTTATAACCCCGCCCACCCCTTTCCCCCTGTCAAAAACATCCCTCCTCCCCGCCCCCATCTAACCTTGCCCACGCCGCTGCCAAGCCCTTCTAACCCCACCCACCCCCTTCCCCCTGTCAAAACCATCCCTCCTCCCCGCCCCCATCAAACGCCGCCAGCACGTGTCGTCACCCAGACGGGACGCGGGGCAGTGATGTCAGCGGCGCCAGCAGAAGGAAGGGAGAGAGAAAGAGAGAGAGAAAGAGGAGAGCGAGGACTGCCTCCCTTCAGGGCCTTCCCCAACACAACATCACCGCCAGGTAGGCCTCAGACCCACCTCTCGAGACAAGTTGGGAAGACAAGGGGGAAGTAAGGAAAGTAAGAGAAAGAAGGAAGAAGAAAAGGAAAGAAAAGGAAAGATGGAAGGAAATATAAGAAAGACAGCAGAAGAGAAAGAATAAGGGGGAAGGAAGGAAAGAGGTAGAGAGGAAAGAAAGAGAAAGAGGGAGGAAGAAAAAGGGGAAGAAGGAAGGAGAGAGAAAAGAAAAAGGAAGAAGGAAGGAAAGAGGGAGGAAGAGGGGGAAGGGGAGGGAAGGAAAGAGAAAAGGAAGAAAAGAGAGACAGCAGAAGAGAAAGAAAAAGGAGGAAGGAAAGAGAGAAAGAAGAGGAGAAGGAAAGATGGGAAGGCAGGAGGGAAAGAAGGAGAGAAAGAGGGAAGGTTGGCCACAGCAAATAAAAAGTGAAAGAAGGAATGAAACATGGAGGGAAGAAAGGAGGCAAAGGAAGAAAGGGGGAGGGAATGAAGGAAAGAGAGAAGGTACTTCTCTTTCATAATAGACCAGATATCTACTAGGCCTGGGTAACAACGGAAAAATTTGTTTCTAAAATCGATTCGTTTTTTGGGGGTTTTTGCGTTTCGATATTTAAAAGAATTCCGAAATTTTTCTTTTTAAAAAGTTTGATATTTACGAAATTTCGTAAATGTTAAAAAAAATTACGAAATATTAACGAAACAAATACGAAACAATAACGAATGGATTCGTTAATGGCGGACGCGACCGCGCAATACGCTAAAAAACCTCCAAATGGGACAGGGGGAACTTCTGAAGCTTCCCTCTCCCTCTGTTGTTGACTGTTGGTGTGATATTATAATTTTTTTCACTAATTAAACAAAAAACAACTATAAAACTTGCCCCTGACATGCGGAAATAATAACGAAACGACCTCAAACCGATAACGAAACAAATACATAACGAATCCGAAGCATTTACGAAACGAATTTAAAAATTTGTTTCGTTTTTAAGTTGCTCCAGAATGGTTCGTTATCACTTCGTTATAAAAAAAATAACGAATTTTTAACGAATTACGAATTAACGAAACAAAACCGCCCAGCCCTAATATCTACCTCTACTATGAAAAGATTTACTATAGGCCACAGCAACGCGTGGCAGGGTACAACTAGTATGTTTATATAACTGTATTTTCTCCTCTCAAATAAAAATCTTTTAAAAATAGAAAAAAAGGAAGAAAAAAAGGGTGTCGTGGTATAAACTGCGTGGATGGCATGCATCTGACATAATTAGCCACTCCCTAACCAATTAATGACTGTCTGGGCAGGAGATGGCATTTCGTAATTAATTAATTCCCTATTTAATGGCGAAACCAATGGGATGCAGAAACTCAAAAGTCATCCAAGAGAAAGGACAGTCCTTTCATGCTTGTTTGTCAAGAGGATGGCATTTCTTGTCACTCTGGGGATGCTCGCGTTGTATGCCAGCCTCCTTTTTTTAAAAAAAATGTTTATTGTAGTTTTGCTTACAAACATTTAAAAACAATAGAATTCTTAGAAAGAGGAAAGGGAAGACAGTGGATAAAAAGGATGACCCACTGTCACGTCGATACCAGGCAAGATTCTGGAAAAGATTGTTAAGGAAGTGGTCTGCAAACACTTAGAAACAAATGCGGTCATCGCTAATAGTCAACATGGATTTATCAAAAACAAGTCACGCCAGGCTCATCTGATCTCTTTTTTCGATAGAGTTACAAGGTGGGTATATGCGGGGAATGCCGTGCATGGAGCGTACCTGGATTTCAGGAAGGCCTTCTTTGACAAGGTCCCCCACGACCTTCTGGCAAACAAACTAGTCCAATGTGGGCTAGGCAAAACTACGGTGAGGTGGATCTGGAATTGGTTAAATGGACGAACCCAGAGGGTGCTCACCAATGCTTCCTCTTCATCTTGGAAAGAAGTGACAAGTGGAGTGCCATCAGCAGGGTTCCGTCCTGGGCCCGGTCCTGTTCAACATCTTTATTAATGACTTAGATGAAGGGCTAGAAGGCAAGATCATCAAGTTTGCAGACGACACCAAATTGAGAGGAATAGCCAATATTCCAGAGGACAGGAGCAGGATTCAAAACGATCTTGACAGATTAGAGAGATGGGCCAAAACTAACAAAATGAAGTTCAACAGTGACAAATGCAAGATACTCCACTTTGGCAGGAAAAACGAAATGCAAAGATACAAAATGGGGGACGCCTGAGGAGGTTATAGCTGGGGTTATAGCTGAACCATCCGTTATTAACATTCTTCTATATTTGTTCCATACTTCTAATATATTGCTCAACAATGGGTTTCTAATTTCCCTAATTTCTTTTCTCATGAACTGTTTAAAAAATATATTCCAAATTTCTTCTCCCACTTCTTCTGAATCCTTACTTAGCCAATCTACTCCCTCTTTTTTTATCATTCCTTCTATAACCAATCTTAATCTACTTGCTTCGTAATATTTTTTAATATTAGGGAGTGCTAATCCTCCCTCTTTTTGCGATCTGTACCATAACTGTTTATTTAATCTATTTCTTTTACTACCATTACAATATTTATTTATCATTTGTTGCCATCTATTTAGCTCTTCTTCTGCGATTTCAGGTGGTAGCATCCTAAATATAAAATTTATCTTTGGAAGTATTTTTATTTTTACTAATGCTATCCTTCCAAACCAAGATAAATGTATATTTTCATAATCTATTAATGTCTTTTGAACAACTTTTCTCAATGTTACTATATTTACCTCTTCCATTTCTTTTAAATCCTTTGTTATTATTACTCCCAGGTATTTTAATTTATTCTTAATTCTAATTCCCATTTTGCTCTGTTCTATAAAGTCTTTTTCTTCTTTCTTTGTATAATTAAGTAGCATCATTTCTGACTTGTTCCAATTAACTTGCAAACCTTTTGTTTTCCCAAATATCTCTAAATGATCCTTTATCTATTTTACTTACTATGTTTTCAATAAATAACAATGTATCATCGGCAAATAGATTCACCTTCTGTTTTTCCTTTTTTCCTAGCCCTTCTAAGTTCTTATCTTTCCTAATGGCATTTGCAAATAATTCTATCACCATGGCAAACAAAATTGGTGATAGAGGGCAACCTTGTCTTGTTCCCCTTGTCACTTTTATTTCTTTTGTCACTCCATCATTTATAGTTAAAAGTGAATTTAATTTGAATTAATTATGATTTTAGAAGCTTCTGAACGAACTTGCCCAAAGCACAATACATGTATTGATTTGAGGCACGAAGGGGGCCTCGGCAGCAGCAGCTTCCCTCTGCTACTCCGCACTCCTCCCTCGCAAGGCTGGGCTGGGCACCAGGCTTGGAAGCCCAGCCTGATGAGGAACCCTTTGAGGCATGGACAAGCAGAAGGGGCGAGAAGGAGGTCAGTGCCGAAGAGGGTCTCGGCAGCAGCGGTTTCCTCCTCGCTCCTCGGTGCTCCTCTGTGCTCCTTCCTCCCCAGGATGGACGACAGGCTTAGGTGCCCAGCCTGGCAAGGAAGGGACCCTCTGAGGCACAGATCAACAGAGGGACAAGGAGGAGGATGCTGCCGAGGAGGGCTTCCTCTTCGCCCCTCCATTGCTCTTGTCTCCTTCCTCGCCAGGCTGGGCACCAAGCTTGGGAGCCCAGCCTGGCGAGGAAGGGACCCTTTGAGGGACAGAGCAGCAGAGGGGGCAAGGAGGAGGCCGCTGCCAAAGAGGGCATCAGCAGTGGCAGCTTCCCCCTCACCCCTCCGTTGCTCCGTGCTCCTTCATTGCCAGGCTGGGCACCAGGCTTGGCAACCCAGACTGGTAAGGAAGGGACCCTTTCAGGCATGGAGCAGCAGAGAGGGCAAGGAGGAGGCCATTGTCAAAGAGGGTCTCAGCGGCGGCGGCTTTATTTATTTTATTTATTTATTTGCTTTATTTTTATACCGCATTTTTCAGCCTAATTCGGTGACTCAATGCTTTGCCCTTGCCCCTCCGCTGCTCTGTATTCTTTCCTCGCCAGGCAAAACATCAGGAGAGAATGCTTCTAGAACATGGCTGTACAGCCTGAAAAACTTAAGACAACCCAGTGATTCCGGTCATGAAAGCCTTCGACAATAAAATAAAACATGTGTTATATACTGTTAATGAAATTATTTATACGCTGGCAATGGAGTCTCGTTCCTGGGTATTCCAGTGGCCAACGAACAATGCCAATCAAAATTCCATGGAATCCGTCCTTGATGTGATACCACGTTACTGGGACACCATTGTCCTCTAGCCGTTTCTTGAATAAGAGCCCATCGTCTCGGAAAACATCGTATTCACAGGTTACAAGGAAAGTCTTGGGGAGCTGGCGGATCACGTCATCTTCTGCTAAAAGTGGGGAATACATGGGGTTGGTTGCTTCTTTCATGATTTCGTAAAGTTCTTGGTTAAACGGAGGCCGCTCCATGGGCACGTAACCCCTGCCCTTAAATCTTTCTGGAATGTCATCGGGACTGACCCATTTCCTGTATTTCATCCACACATGTTTGGGTAGATGAGCATTCTTCATGATGTCCTCCAGGTTGACCTCCTTTGCAGTCAGAAGCAGGGTAGCAATCTTCAAGGCCCGTTTCTTGAACAGGAGGGGGACCGAATGGTTTTGCTGATAAGAAGGCAAATTTAAATCGACGGCCTGCAAACCCGGATAGATGAGGACCTGGCCTCCTAGCTTTGGGAGATCTTTCCTGCCTACCAAATATTCAGAAACAGCTGCAGCAAATGTCCCTCCGCTACTCTCTCCATAGAGAACAATGCGATGTGGGTCCACTCCGTATTCCTCTGCATTTTTCAAAAAGTGTATAGTAGCTGTGCAGCAATCCATGACTGGGATTGGGAATGGATGTTCTGGAGCCAAACGAAACCTGAGGCAGAAATGAGAAACGGTCTGAATCCTCAATCCACATGATAACGTTTTCTGAATTTTAGGCACAGAATATCCTAAAAACTCCTGTTACAATCCACGTCCAACTCCCTGAACTATTTGCTCCATTCAAGTATGTAGCCACAAAGTAATTTCACTCATCCATAATTCAGAATGTATACTTACATAAGTTTGCTTCCCATGTGCTGACTATAATATGTTGCAGTGCAGAATATTCATAATTTGTTACCAAGCTCACACTCCTGGACTTACCATAAACATGGGAAGCCATGGAACATAGCCAATCCCATTGAAATGAACCATCTTCAGCAGAAACGTACTATACAATCCTGCTGGAGGACCTAGAAAACACCTAAAGGGAACATCCTTCCTAGAATTTCTAGAGCATCTAGCATGACAATATGGTCAATTTCAGATGGAAGCATACCATAGAGCAGTGGTTCTCAACTTGTGTGTCCCCATGTTTTGGTCTACAACTCCCAGAAATACCAACCAGTTTACCAGCTATTGGAGGACCTAGAAAACACCTAAAGGGAACATCCTTCTGAGAATTTCTAGATCATCCAGCATGACATTATGGCAATTTCAGATGGAACCATACCATAGAGCAGTGGTTCCCAACCTGTGGTTCCCCATGTTTTGGTCTACAACTCCCAGAAATACCAACCAGTTTACCTGGTGATAGGATTTCCGAAAACTGAAGGCCAAAACATCTGGAGGCCTTCAAGTTGTGAACCAGTGCCATAGAGTCATGTTGGAAGACAAGAAAAAGGCTTAAAGAGAAATCCAACCTAGAAATTGTAGGACTTTGCCATCAACCTCTGGTGGAAGAATACCAGAATTGGTAGGAAGACTTAGAAAATGGGTAAAGACAACTATTCCCTACAATTTCTCGGTCCACCAGGATGACCATGGAAGCATACTATGGAATCATGTTGGAGGACAGGGAAAATGCTTAAGGAGAACACCTTGTCCCTGTTATCAACATCTGGTGGAAGCATATTGTGGAATTGAGTTGGAGGACCTCCAAAATGCCAATGCCTTTCAATCCAAAAGGATTGATATTTTTTCAAAAAATAATGAGTGCCTTCAGGTTAAAATCACCTGGGATCATTTTCCTTCATACATTTTCATTCACCATGAATAACGCAGTACACTCATTATATGAATTTTTCAACCACATGATTGACATTTTGGAGAGGAACGTTCTGCATCTCCCTTAACATTTTGAAACAAGGCATCCATTTGGGATGAGAGACACCCTCTTCCTTTGTTTGTTGGCTTCTCCAATAGGAAAATAGTTTATTGAGAAAGGAAATACCAAACTGGGACTGTGGCGCAGATGGCTGGGAGTCAGTTGCATTAAGATCACTACTGACCAAGAGGTCAAGAGCTCGACACCAGCCTGGGTCGGAGTCAGCTTCTGACCATTTGTGCAGTTTGCTGTCAACCTGAAAGACAGTTGTATCTGTCAAGTAGGAAATTTAGGTACCGCTTATGCGTGGAGGCTAATTTTACTAATTTGCGACATCATAAAATCACCAGAAAGCATGCAAAAGAATGAGGAAGTACATCTGTCCCATAGAGGATGTCACAAGTGGATGGCGAAGTCACAACTCCTCTGGTGACCAGAATACCCTCATGTAGCTGGAATGTTAAATAGCCTCTGTGTGTGGAAATTTAAATAGCCTCTGTCTCTTTCCAAGTTTTTTGGAAAGGGAACAGATCGAATAGTGTGGGAGAATGTCCATTCTGATAGAGCCACAATGAGTATGAAGTCACTTACGCAACAGTCATAACAACAGAATCGGTTTCCTGGGCAATGTAGCGGCATGGTATGTCAGTTAGACCTGAAAAACATCATGTTTCAAGAGAGATTATTACTGATGGGTTTCATGACTATGTACATAGAAACATCCTATATACTCCATCTGAACTCTGTTTCCAGGAGAACTTACCAATATTTCCCGCAACTCCACCACCTCCTGCAATGACAACCACTCCTCTTCTCTTCCCAGAAGGAGTTGTTTTGGGCCAATACACTCTGACCGGAATGCCATCAAACACCAAGTCCTTGATCGTCAATGTTGGGCTCCACTTGGGTATAAATGTTCTGTACAACCACACAAGTAATTTGAACGGACTGTGCAAGCCAATTTTTTTAAAGAATGATTCCTGGTTACAGAAAAATATAAAGGAGAAATAAATGTCATGTGGACACGGGGCTTACGTACAGAAAGTGACAGACTTAGGCCGAATCTAGAAGAGATCATCCCATGAACGTTTGATGGGACTGAGGCAAAGAGAAATGTAAACAATGGAAAATTACCAAGCCAGGAACAGGTTTAGACAAAAAGAGGGAGATGGAAAAATTTCTAGTCAAAGCCACAAGGGAAAGAGTTAGCTGAAAGAAGAGAAAGTTCAAAAGACCTGCAAGCCAGCAACGGGGGGAAATGGTTGTGAATTGCTGTTGTCAATTGTTGATAAGGAGGTACCAGATGAGAACAATGGGAAAGAGAAGTGTGAATGATGAAATAGATTGTGTATCTGTCCAGGCTTCAAACCTAAGACTCTAAAACCCCCTGAGCTGCGTCCTCAGTGTGTGGCACTTGTCGACCCAACAGAGAGATCTGATCAAATAAATCTGTCATACCAGAACTTCACACCTCTTAGGGTCTAATTGGACTGAGACCCTAGGGTTTTTGGATTGCCTTTTTGGAAGAGACACAGCAGTGTGTCTCAGCACATTAACACATCTGTTGCTGTGCTTGGATGGTATCCATATGGACCAGAAAGACTGAGACTGTGTCAGAACATCACCTTCTGTCTTGGCATGGCTACTCTCAGCTAGCCACCTGAATTCCTGGTCATTGCTGGTGCCCCATTCTAATGTCAGAAGAAGCATCTACAACTGGGAAGAAGAGAGGGCCCATCTCCCTCCCTACCTTTCTTTGCTCCGTTGCTGCCTCTCCCAGCGTCATATCGGGGCACTGTTGATGACCAGGTGTTTACATAGTGCTCTATGGACCATTGGGATCAGCAACAGTGGCAGCGTGGACACAATCCATTCTCTTCCGCCTGTGCTGGTTTATGGTCCAGACAGAGAACCAGTTCAAATAGGACCCAATCCAGTTGTCCAGTTGACCTCAAACCTGGAGCTTCAAGCAAGTTCCAGGATATTCCCCAACCTTGTCTGAAGTTGGAAAGATTGGGTTCCACCCAGAATAACTCAAGATGCTCAGCAAAAGTACAAGAATGTCATGATACAATTCATGGTGGGATTTCACACCCAGCTCAAATTGCTTTCAATTCTTGTTGAAGGAATGTCCAAAAGAGACCTGTCACTTGGGCTGCTATTTCCACACTTGTGAGCTCTGGCCTCACAGCCCATAGGACACATTTCTTTTAGACACCTCCTTGAACAAGAATGAAGGGCAATTTGATCTGGATATGAAAACCCACCATGAACTGTATCTTGGAGAAGGTCCCTTTTTAGAGCAAGAACTCTGATTCCACAACAAACAGCAAATCCCAGGATCCTGTTGAACCTAGACATGGTATCACAGTGCTCTCATGGTCTCAAAGAGCATAGGATTATATGCAGAAGCCTGTGCACTATCATGGTCCATGGAGTGGATAAAATTAAAGAAGGAAAAACCTTTGAACCTGGAGGGCTTTGATCTACGAAGGGGTTGGCACGCGTATATCGGGTATGATAAAACAAAATTAGAAAAGAATTTTGGAGATCATTTTATTAGAGCTGCGATTATCAAAACATGGAATAAATATAAGAAAAGGATGTATAATAAAATTCCAACGTGGGTTTCACCATTGGAATCCTGTCAAAGAAAGGAATTAGGGTGGATCAAATGGCCAAATTACAAAGAGTTTATAAAAGAAGAAAAAAAAGAAATAACTTTGAGACCCCTATCAGAATTAAAAAAATATATCCAAATATGACCTATACAAATATGACCTATACCCAATACAGACAGTTCCTAGAATTTTATGGAAATGACAAAAAAAATAGGATTCAAGACAAAGTGAAATATATGGGATAGAATTTGGGAAGTAGGGAAGAAAAATATATCCAAGATATACAGAGAATTGTTGAGATGGAGCACGGAAGAAGGAGTAAAAGAATGTATGGTAAAATGGGCAAAAAATGTGGGCAGACCGATAGGACTAGATGAATGGGAAACAATTTGGGGGAAAAGTATTTAAAGGCATATGACATGCAAGAAAACTGGTCAAAAGTATTTTTTAGATGGTATATGACGCCATATAAATTCAGTAAATGTTATAAAAATCTGAACTCAAAATGCTGGAAATGTGGTGCAGCAGAAGGAAGACTATACCACATGTGGTGGCAATGTAAAAAAAGCTAGATGTTACTGGAAGGAAATCCAGGCCAAATTACAAAAAATCTTGAAAATTCGTATACCCCTTAAACCGGAACTATTTTTATTGGGTATCACAAATATGAAAATTGATAAAAACACAGACAAATTGATATTTCTCTCCACAACGGCAGCCAGGATTTGCTTTGCCAAATTGTGGAGGAAGAAAAAAAATACCAAAAATTGAGGAATGGAAAAGAAAAATAATGGACGTCAGAAACATGGATAGCTTAAGCTACCTACTACAAAGGAGCAAAGGAATAGCAGAGACAGGTACAGATTGGACAGTATTTAAAGAATATCTAAAATAAACAAGATTAAAGAGATAAAGAACAGACAGATAGGTCTGGAGAGATTTTAGTACAAACATAAAGCATATATTAGTCAAAATGGAAACAATTAACGAGACGAAGAGAGAAGAAGGAGAGAAAGAAAAGGAAGAGACCAACCTCGAAGAATCCTGAAAGTCAAATGGAAAGAAAAAGAATTTTCTTGAATCTTTTCTTTTAAATCTATACTTTGCTCTCTCTTACCCTACCTACCCACTCTCTCCTTTTCCATACCTTGCCCCCTTTTCCATCCCCCTCCCCAGTTCCCCGGCTTTCCGCTCCTTCTTTCCCTTTCTTTACTATCCCCTTTTCTTTTTCACCCCATTCTATTTTATCTTA